CCTCTGGCTCTGCAGAGGCTCTTTCCCCTGCTCCACTCTCAAAGGCCAGAGCCAGGCCCAAGCTGCTCACGCCATCCCAGCTGGAGCCTGGGCAAGGGGTGAGCTCAGAGCAGGCTCCCCAGTCACTGCCTCAGCTGGAAGGTTCAGCCACCCAAGGACCAGGGCTCCCCCAGAGCTAGGCACAGCCAACACAGGGTTTGGGTTGCAAGATTTGGCAGGATCTGTTCCGATTCACTGTCATCCTCATGGTGCTAATAGCCACATGCCTTGTCTTCCCTCGGAACAGTGTGTCTTTGCACAGTGACCAGGTAGGTAATTGACCACATGTGGCCAGAAACAGCAGGTCCCAGCCCTCTCCACACGCTAAGTCAGGCTTGAGGGTTCTGGCCTGGAACTCACAGTGTATAGAGTTTAAGGATTTGAGGAGCAGGTGTTAGAGTTTAAGAAGTTCTGAGTTCTGGCCAGGTGTGGTGGCTCACGCCTGTAATCCCAGCACTTGGGGAGGCCAAGGCGGGAGGATCACCTGAGGTCAGAAGTTTGAGACTAGCCTGGCCAACATGGTGAAACCCCATCTCTATTAATAGCACAAAAATTAACCGAGCATGATGGCGCACGCCTGTAATCCCAGCTGTTTGAGAGGCTGAAGCAGGAGAATTGTCTGGACCCGGGAGGCAGAGGTTGCAGTGAGCCGCCAAGATCGTGCCATTGCACTCCAGCCTGGGCAACAAGAGCGAAACTCCGTCTCCAGAAAAAAAAAAAAAAAAAAAAGCTCTGAGTTCCAAGCCTTGACTAACACACTTTTTGCCTCACTATCTCAAGTAGAGGGTCAGAGAAGCAGCGGCTTTGCAGGCTCCTGAGGCAAGGGAGAGAAACCCACCACCACCAAGCAGGGCTCTCCCAAGGGCCGGATGGCAGAGCCTATCTGGGACACTTGGTGGTGGCAGTCACGGTACCTTCCAGAATCACAGCAAACCACCAGCCCCGCACCTGAAAGGCCAGTTCCCCCGGTACCCCCAGACTCCCACTGTACTTGTGCACTCATCTGTCCCATGCAAGTCGGACCATGGCCAGGTCCCCCCTCCTGAGCCTGGGCCCCCCTTCCTGTGGCTTCCTCCTCCTGGCACATCCCCCACTTCACCCCAACCACCGGCATCACCCATCCACCAGAGGCCAGCTCAAATGCCAGCCATCCACGTGCCTTCTCTCCTCTGCCCAGTTACCTTTCTTGGGGCAGCAGCTTTCTTTTTGTTTGTTTTTTCACTTTTTTTTTTGAGACGGAGTTTCGCTCTTGTTGCCCAGACTGGAGTGCAGTGGCACGATCTTGGCTCACCGCAACCTCCGCCTCCCAGGTTCAGGTGATTCTCCTGCCTCAGCTTCCCGAGTAGCTGGGATTATAGGCACGTGACATCCCAGGCCCAGCTAATTTTGTATTTTTAGTAGCGACGGGGTTTCTCCATGTTGGTCAGGCTGGTCTCCAACTCCCAACCTCAAGTGATCTGCCCGCCTCGGCCTCCCAAAGTGCTGGGATTACAGGCATGAGCCCCCATGCCCGGCCTGGGGGCAGCCCCCTCTCAACTCCCAGAGCACCGCTTCCTTCTCTGACTTCCTCCATCTCCCCACAGAGCATTCCCACCAGTTACACCCATCTCTGTCTCTCCTCCTAGCTGTGAAGTTCCTCAAAGACCCAGGAGCCAGCTATCCTGTCCCCAGGACCTTGAACCATGAAGGTGGAAAGTAGAGAGCAGAGTCTGAGGTTATGGGTGATATGACTCCTGCCTAAGACCCCTGTGGCCATCACTGCTGCCCCGGCCAGACCAGCCACTGCCCACAGAGGGATCCACTAGTGGCGGCATTGGATGGGCTTTAGGTGTACCCATGGTCCAGCTCACCTTTCTTGCCCATTTCAGCTCCATCAGCCACACACACCTTTTATTTATTTATTTATTTTTGAGATGGAAATTATTTATTTTCTCTCTTGTCATCCAGGCTGGAGTACAATGGCACGATCTTGGCTCACTACAACCTCCGCCTCCCCGGCTCAAGCAATTCTCCTGCCTCAGCCTCCTGAATAGCTGGGATTACAAGTGTCTGCCACCACACCCGGCTAATTTTTATATTTTTAGTAGAGAGGGGTTTTCGCCATGTTGGCCAGGCTGGTCTCGAACTCCCAGCCTCAGGTGATCTGCCCTCCTTGGCCTCCCAAAGTGCTGGGATTGCAGGCAGGCTACACCGTTCAACAGTCCCCAAGAGGGGAGGGATGCAGACCCTGAAGTCCTCAAGATAGGCTGGATTCAAGAGCCCAGATGATAGGACACAGAAGAAAACCTAAAAGAAAGAAGACACTTGTGAGATACTTTGTGCAAATACAAGCAAATGCAGATGTGAATTCTCTTTTTTTTTTTTTTTTTTGTTTGAGATGGAGTCTTGCTCTGTCACCAGGCTGGAGTGCAGTGGCGCGATCTCGGCTCACTGCCACCTCCGCCTCCTGGGTTCAAGTGATTTTTGTGCCTCAGCCTCCCGAGTAGCTGGGATTACAGGCACCCACCACCACACCCGGCTAATTTTTTTTTTTTTTTTTTAATTTTTTAGTAGAGACAGGGTTTCACTATGTTGGCCAGGATGGTCTCAATCGACCTCATGATCCACCCACCTCAGCCTCCCAAAGTGCTGGGATTACAGGCGTGAGCCACCATGCCCGGCCTTGTCTTTGTTCTTTTTTACTCTGTTCATGCCTTGTTTTTCCCCTTTGCAGTCTGCCTTGGAGATCATTTCACCATCAGTTCAGAAGATCTTCTTTCTCTGTTTTCAGCCACACAGTATTTCATTGTAAGGACACACCGTAACGTACTTGACAAGTCTTTGTTGGTTGCTAGTTTAGAACGTGTGCTCTTACCAGTGTTAAGGCGTCTCCGAGTGGGACGGTTCAGGGGTCACCATGGCCTTCAACTGTCACATGGCACAAAGGCCTCATGCATGGATTAATTCCAGGGATTCCTGTTTAGCAAGCGTTGCGTACCTTGGCTTACAGTGGCCTCAGCCCTAAAGGAGGTCAGTCAAGTGAAGGAGTCATACAAGAAAATAAACAATTGCAGAGTTAAAAGATTGTATAATGAGCCCTGTAAGCAGAGGGGGAAGAGAGGCCCACAGGGAGAGCTGCCACTCATCAGAACCACCTGTTGGGGAAGGTTTCACTCCCTATTTTCACCCCCAACCTTGTTTTTCCCAAGTCTTCTCTATGTCAAGAAACAACACCCCATTCCCCCAGCTGCCCAAGTCAGGGTCAGTTCATCAGGAAAGGGTATCAGACCATATCACTCCCTGATTAAAACCTTCAAGAGCTTCCCACTCTGAGTGTAAAGGCCTTAGAACAAGGCCTTGTGTGCTCTGGCCCCTGAATGCCCCCTATGCAGGCACAGCAACCCCTTCGAAACCCTCAGGCACAACGGGATACTTTTTTTTTTTTTTCTTTTTTCCGACACAGAGTTTTGTTCTTGTTGCCCAGGCCGGAGTGCAATGGCGTGATCTCGGCTCATCACAGTCTCTGACTCCCAGGTTCAAGCAATTCTCCTGCCTCAGCCTCCCAAGTCGCTGGGATTATAGGCACCCACCATCACGCCCAGCTAATTTTTGTAGTTTTAAGGTTTCGTCATGTTGGCCAGGCTGGTCTCAAACTCCTGACCTTAGGTGATCCACTCGCCTCAGCCTCCCAAAGTCCTGGGATTACAGGCGTGAGCCACAGTGTCCGGCCTTTTGTTTGGTTATTTATTTATTATTTATTTATTTGTTTGTTTGTTTATTTATTTTTGAGGAGTTCTGGAAGTGGCATGCAATGCTTCTCCATGTCTATCTACCCCAATTCCCAACTCCTAGCACCTCGTCTGGCACATCATAGGTGGTCAGCATTTATTGGATGAATGAGTGGATCGACATTTGATTGAGTCTTGAAGTACAAATAGAATTTGGAGAAGTGGACAAGGCAGGAAATGTGTATTCAGGCATGAGGCTTAGCTTGTGCATAGGTAGAAAGACATGAAAACACATGGAACATTCTCGAATCCACAAATAGTAAGAGAGGGCTAAGTCGCTGTGTCGGGGAGAGGAGAAGTGAAGTTCAAATGGTAGGCAAAGGCCAGTGGGCAAGGGCCTTGTAAATTGCACTTGAATTTTATTCTATAGGCAAAAGGAAGAGTTTAAGGGTTTCAAGAAGGACATGACCAATGGGCTTTAGGAAAATCATTCCGATGGCCTTTCCGAGGATGGCTGAGGAAAGCAAGCTGGGAAGCAGGGAGGTTGAGTCAGAGGATTTTGACTAGGCCAGGCTAGGTGCTATGAAGCCCGGGCTTTGGAGAAGAACCAGGAAATGGCAACTGGAGGCAAGAAAGGGGAGAAGGCCAAAGCCTGGGAACCATCAACACTCAAGAACAGTAAAGCATAAACATCTAAAGAGAACAAGAAGGAATAGTCAGAGAAGGAAAACAGGAAAGAACTGAGGCGTGGGAGCACAGGAGAGAGAATGGTTCGAGAAGGAAGTGGTCGCAGGTGTCAAGGCCGTTGGGAGGTCAAGTGAGATAAGGACTGAAGGTCCTGCCAATTGGCCCATCAGGAGCACAGGACTTGAGAGCACTTCTGGGTGGGAACAGACCCAGCCTGTGGCAGGGCTCGGGTTTCTGATGGGAATTCTGGAAGGGTCCGTTTTGTTCAACAGTCCAGGGCCCCCCCAAGTCTGACTACAGCAATGCTCCGAACCATGTCAGTTTCCTGGCTTAAGGTTCAGTCGCCCTCCTCAGAGGGGAGCCTATGAAAGAGCCCAGTGGAGAGTCGGGATCCTGAGTCCTAGTCCTAGTCCTCTCCCTGCCACTTGGGAGGGACCTTGGGCCTCAGTTTCTCCAGGTGGGCTCCACAATTGCTTCTCTTGACTTGGACTGCCCCAGTGCCCAGGTTCAGTGACTGACACAGGCAGCTGGGTTTCCCCATCCTCTGACATGGGTTCCCTTCACTGCCTTCAGGCAGGGCTTGGCACTCCACCCCCAAGGGGCCCATTGTGTGAGCTCAGTTTCAATGGGGACAGAAACTGAGTTGAGAAACGGGAATATTTACCTATTCCGCCGAGCCAATGCCCAAGCAAATAGTGCGGTATCTTACGTAGAGCCCTTGCCCTACCCTTCCCCATCTGGGCGCTGCCGCCTGGAGCATATAAAAGGCACCTTGCTGGGCATGTCTCCTACTAGCCCACCAGTCTCAGAGACGGAATCATTGATGGGCCAGAGCATCCCCCGCCTCCACCATGAAACTCGCTGTCACCCTCCCCCTGGTCACGCTGGCTCTCTACTGCAGCTCCGGTGAGTGCTCAGAGTCCCTTCCCTCCCTCCTGGACTTAGGAACTCTCAGGACCACCCAGTTTTGCTCAGAAGAAGGGGTGAGCTGCCCGTGTCTGCTCTGTAGCCGCTGGGAGGACCTGGGCATGCTGAGTCTCAGAAAACTGGGTCTGGTGAGCAAGCTCATCTTGGGAACTTGGAGAGAGCCCCAGGCTGTGAGGAAGCATAAAAAGGGTCCCATCTTCCATATCCAGCAACCCTCAGAATCCCAGGGAATGGAATAGGCTGGAGGGAGGGGTGGAGGACACCTCATAAAGATGAGTGCATCCAGCATAGGAATAATGAGGCCCTCCTCCCAGACCTGGACACACCCCAAGATGCCGAGACCTTGGTGCAGCCTCCAAGTCTGGGGTCTCCACTCCATGCTGACAGCTGAAGTCACTGGAAGGGGAGCTGCAGGGACTCATCACCCCAAAAGAAACCCAACCCAAGACAAGGTCTCTCATTCTGGGCACAGAAGAATATTCCAGAAAGAGATCTTCCCGTTGGGGAACTGCCAACCCAGAGTGGAGTTTTCTAAACATTTCTGTCCTCTGCAAAAGGGATTAGGAGTCTCTGAGTAGTTGCTGCTGTCATTAAAAGGAAAAGAATTGTGGGGGAAAGAGGGGCAGACAGAGAGAGGGAGAGAGGGAGAGAGGGGGAGAAAGGAAGGAAGGAAGGATCACACCTCTCTCCAAGACCCCCCGTCTTTGGAGAACTGGGTTATCTAACTCTGTTTTTCACTCTGCATCAGCCTCTTCCATTCTCATCTGAAAATGTTGTTGTTGTTTTTTAATAAATAAACTCCAATTAATTCACTTGGAAAGCTTCACAGCACCCATGGAGATAAGTTTTATGACACTGGGGAGTTAGAAAACCCAAACCAAGAAGCAGTAGGAACAACTATTTTGCAGCAAGGCTTATTTGTTTTTCAGAGAAAATGACATCATTTTGGACTGAAATGTGTATTAATTAGATCTCAGTGCTGTCTGCGTACAGAGGTGGGTGGCTGAGCAAGATAGTTCTGAAACATGTTAAGGGGTGGGTCAGATGCATTTCATTTGTCTATTTGTGTGCGCACACATACCAATATTTAACGCTTACTTCACAGCAATGTGACAATCACTGTCACCCTTTCACATAGTAGCTCTCAGTATCGTCTTTTCCTTTTTTTTTTTTGAGATGGAGTCCTAGCTCTGTTGCCAGGCTGGAGTGCAGTGGCACGATCTCAGCTCACTCACTGCAACCTCCACCTCCCGGGCTCAAGGGCGATTCCTCCCTACCTCAGCCTCCCAAGTAGCTGGGATTACAGGCACGCAGCACTGTGCCCAGCTAATTTTTGTATTTTTAGTAGAGACAAGGTTTCACCATGTTGGCCAGGATGGTCTCGATCTCTTGACCTCATGATCCGCCCGCCTAGGCCTCCCAAAGTGCTGCGATTAGGCGTGAGCCACTACACCTGGCCTCTCTTTTCATTCTTACAACAATCCTATGAAGTAAGGATACTGGGCCAGGCACAGTGGCTCACGCCTGTGATCCTAGCACTTTGGGAGGCCAACTCATTTGAGGTCAGGATTCACAGGACCATCTGGCTAACCACGGGGTGAAACCCTGTCATCTACTAAAAAATACAAAAACTAGCCGGGCGACGGCTGGCAGGTGCCCTGCTAGTGGCCCAGTAACTCCGGGAGCGAGGCAGGAGAACGGCGTAGACCTGGGACAGGCGGAGCTTGCAGTGAGCCTGAGATCCGCCACTGCACTCAAGCCCTGGGCGACATCACAAGAGCGAGACTCCACGTCTCAAAAAAAAAAAAAAAAAAAAAAAAAAGACTCACTGGGAAGATGGAGCGCAAGCAGCGGGGGCGCTAGAAATGGGTGACTTCTCCCCATGTTCCCTGGCTTGTTAAGGACCATGAGAAGAGAAACTAAAGTCTTGAAGCTGCTGTGTTGAAGGGAATGCAGCGGTAACAAGTGGCCTGCTCTGGTCCGTGAGCTGAGTGTGCCACACTTCCCGACCAAGGTGGAGGCCCCGTGTTTGGGCTAGTACAATCACAATGGCTTCTTCTTCTTTTTTTTTTTTTTTTTTATGAGACAGAAGTCTCACTCTGTTGCCCAGACTGGAGTGCAGTGACGAGATCTCGGCTCACTGCAACTTCTGCCTCCGGGGTTCAAGCCATTCTCCTGCCTCAGCCTCCCGAGTAGCTAGGATTATAGGCACCCAGCATCACACCCAGCTAATATTTTGTATTTTTGGTAGAGACGGGGTTTCACCATGTTGGCCAGGCTGGTCTGGAACTCCTGACCTCGTGATCCGCCCGCCTCGGCCTCCCAAAGTGCTAGGCTTACAGGTGTGAGCCACCGCACCTGGCTTATAATCGCTTCTTCCTGCCAGAGCCTGAATTTGTCACATGCCCGCAGTGAAGCATGGCTCAGGGCATCCCCAGCCACTGAGGAGAGGCAAGTTTCCGGCGGGTAACAAAACCCTCAGTGGCCTCTTCCCAGCCTCCACACGGCATTAACAAATCAGGCCAGCAGCTTCTGTTATCAATACTCTGCCTTGATCTCTAACAGAAAGAAAAGTGGCACCTTGCTCACCTCAACCCAAGAAATCCAAGGAAGACTCGGGCAATCCACAAAAAGCTGGCCGTAATCCAGAACGTATTCGCACAGCACCCAATAGGCAACCTCTTAGAGTACCAGCAGATCTCACACTCTAGCCCGTCGATGACAAGGGTGCTATCTCCCGCTGATGGGCCTGGCTGTTTGCATCTGGGCAGACCCAGCCAGAGAGCTAGCCAGCTTGGAAAGGGGCCTGGAGACGTATGCCTTCTCTTCTCTGTGTTGCAGCTTCCGCAGAGGTCTGCCCGACCTTTCTGCGTGTCATTGAATCCCTGTTCCTGGACACACCCTCCAGTTTTGAGGCTGCCATGGGATTTTTCAGCCCTGATCAAGACATGAGTGAGGCAGGGGCTCAGCTGAAGAAGCTGGTGGACACCCTCCCCGCAAAGGCCAGAGACAGCATCATTAAGCTCATGGTAACCAGCGCCCTTCACTTCACACTGGTTAGAAGTGGCTTCTCCAAATGGGGCTGCAGGGTTGCCCCAGTTTTCAGACCTGTCTCTAATCCAGAGAGGAGAGTCACAGGGCCACTGTCCCCAGGCAGGCAGCACAGTGATCTTTTTTGAAACAGAGTCTTGCTCTGTCGCCCAGGCTAAGTTTCAATGGCACGATTTTGGCTCACTGCAACCTTCGCCTCCCAGGTTCAAGCGATTCTCCGGCCTCAGCCTCCCAAGCAGCTGGGATTACAGGCACCCGCCGTCATGCCCAGCTAATTTTTGTATTTTTGTAGCGACAGGGTTTCACCATGTTTGCCAGGCTGGTCTTGAACTCCTGACCTCAGGTGATCCACCCGCCTCAGCCTCCCAAAGTGCTGGGATTACAGGCGTGAGCCGCCGCACCCGGCCTCCTCTTACTATTTTTCAAGAGGCTTTTGAGAAACAATCCAAGCCCTTACTACCTCAGTTCCTCCTAGAGTTGACTGCACCTCTCGGTTGATGTTAAAGTTTCTATGGCTCATCATCTCTGCCTAACTATGCAATTCATTCACTGTTGTGTTGAGCTTTTCTGTTTGTTTCTTTCTTTGTTTATTTGTTTTAGGAAAAAATAGACAAAAGCTTACTGTGTAATTAGGATTTAGAAGCCGAAGATCCCCAACTGCTCCAGCCCCTGCCGCTGCCGTGCTTTGAGTCCACGCCCACCGGCCTTGCTCCCTTCAATAAACCACAAGCATCTCACTTTTGTGCCCCCTGTGTCTTTTTGGTCTCCTCGTTATGGTGGGGGTCTGCCCCTGTCTGGGTGAGGTGAGCCAGGACAAAAGGAAAGCAGACAAAACTCTGCTCTTGGATCCCAGCAGAAATCTCTGGGCTCTTCCAAAGCTCCTTTCCTCTAGGTTTCTGCCTCCAACAGAACTCAAGCCCCCTCCCCTTATATCGGACCATTTACTCAACATCACAGACTGCATTTGTCCAACAGAACCAGTGATCCCTGCCCCAGTCTGTTCCTATCTCAATGAGTTGTAGCTCCATTCTCCCCGCTGGGCTGCAGCAGCCTGAGGAACATCCGCGATCCTTCCTTCTCTAGCCAACCCAGGCTACCTCTACAGGGCCTCTGGAATCCTTCACTCCAACTCCATAGGCAACACCCCCATACCTGCGTGTACAGCCCCCAGGGCCTCCTCTCTGGCTCCCAGGCAGACTCCAGGGCCCCCACAATCCCCTCTCCAGCAATCCAAAGGAATTCTTCTCAAGTGCAAAGTCCCTCCCCATCCTTCAAAGTTTTCCAGGGCTCTTATTGTAAAATTCTAAACCCTGACGATGGTGGCCCCTCACCAGTCTTTCCTGTACCCCTCCTTCCCATGGCTCCCTCATTCTGC